CCTTGAGAGAGAAGTGTGAGCTTTGGCAAACAAAGGAACATCTGGTTTTAGTGGTAACTCCATCTCAGCCTGGGTCACAGCAAACATTGCTCTGGCCAGTTCCTAGTTGGAAGTGACTGAGCCCCAACACCACATAGCTCTCCCCTTAGTGATCTGGCTGATTCCCATCAAACCGCACCAACTCAGAAGTGAAGGTCCTCCTCCCATTCTTCTTAAAAGACCTGAGAAACAGATCTCCCTTTATAATTTTATCATATTATCAATTATGCAAGTTTATATTAAGGTCAAGAAAATATGCTTCAAAAAGGGTTATCAGTCAGTCACCTTGATGAGTAGGATATTCCTTATATGTCACAGAAAATGCCTTATAACTTAATACCATCCCTACTTAGTTCAAATATATGAAAACTAAACCATATGGGATAAAAATGAAACTAATCTTTAGACACACATTAAAGCTATCATAATGTAAAACTGAAAATATATTTTAAAATGAACATTAAAAATTACAAATGAGCCTTGGCCAGTTTGGCCCAGCAGTTAGAGCATCAGCCTGTAGTCCAGAGAGACCCAGGTTCGGTTCCCGCTATGGGCATGTACCTCGGTTGCAGTTTGTCCCCGGCCTTGGTTGGGTCGTGTGAGAGGCAGCCACTCGATGTGTCCCTTGCACGTCGATGTTTCTCTCCCTCTCTCTCTTCCTCTCTCCCTCCCACTCTATCTGAACAAAAAATAGAAAAATATCCTCGGGTGAGGATAAAAAAAAATTACAAATGATAGGCCTGGCCGGTATAGCTCAGTTGGTTGAGCATCATACCAAGCACCAAAAGGTCACCAGTTGGATTCCCAGTCAGGGCACATGCCCGAGTTTCAGGCTCAACCCCCAGTGAGGGGCATGCGGGAGGCAGCTGACTGGTGTCTCTTTGTTTCTGTCGTGCTCTCTCTCTCTCTCTCTCTCTCTCTCTCCCTCCCTCCCTCCCTCTCTCCCTCTCCCACTCTAAAATCAATAAAAACATTTTTAGATTAGAAATGATAAATAAGAGTCTAAATGGTGAGAAACAAAAATCAAAAACCTTACTTCCATTTCTTGACTGTCTTTAGAAGTCAAATCTAAATTCAGTCAAGAAGTATTTCCATTTATTAAATATTTTTGGAATCTTGGGATTCAAGAGAAAGAGACCCAAACTACATACAACCTCTAAATCGTTTAAGTATACACTGTGGCCTGAGGGTATGGGCACCGGCACCCGGAGATCCTCCCTCCTAAAGGACACCTTTAAGTATCTCCAAATTCTTCCTGAGCATTAGGTATGGCTTGACTGCTAAGCTGAGATCCTAGAACAGGGATGCCCAATAGAACTTTCTGCACTATCCAATAGGTAGCAACTAGTCATTTAGTGAGTTGTCACTGAGGAAGTTATTTTTTTTATTTTAATTACTTTAAATGTAAATATCTACACGTGCCCACTAGCTACAAAAGTGGGTGGCATAGCTTTAGAATCTAAAACTGCTTTTAAATAACTATCACATAATATGAATATTTGAGTGTACTTTATTCAATGCCTATTTTGGTTCTTTTCCCCCCAGATCAAAAGTCTTGAGCATGAGCTCAAGAAAAGAGCGTAACAGCCGAAATAATCAGGTAAGCACTCCACTCCACCTTTAGCTTCCCTCAGTGTCACTGCCTTTCAAAGGACTTTCCTAAATACTACAAGCCACCAAACATCTACCACTCTTCCCATGTGTATTTTCCAGGAACAGTACCAGACTGTTCCAAGGCACTGCAAACCTAAACAAGCAAAGGGGATACTGAGGAATAATTGCCTCCATTCTTTTTATAGGCACACAAATGACATGTTCTTAAAGAAACTAGCCTAAGGCCTAAGAGAATTCAGAATGCAAGTAAGAAGAAGTGAGTAACCAAGGGTACGCTCTATGGCGCGGAGGCTGACACATGGCACACACACCACTCGTTCCTTCTGTCTCCCAGTCACAGTACTCTTTCCTGATGATCCCACATGATCCTGAATCTTTCACAACACACAGAACCAGGCATCTCTTACCCTCTAATCAGAGTTGGCCTGTGACTTAAAGCATAGGAAGTCATTGCATCTTTATGATACAGTTCAGTGTCTATTCATATTTAACATCATGATGTCAACAGCATATATGCTAAGATCTGAAGGAAACAGAACTGGATGTAAAGCACCAGGCCTTTGGCCTACGTGATGTTTTGTAGGAGCAAGTACGTAGGACTAAAAGATAATTTTTTTGGACTTTGTTTTTGTAAATTATATTGGCTTTAGATATAGCTATGATGTTGGCATTCACCAGAACTTTCATGTTGTTGAGATATGTAATCTTTAAATTCTCAGAAAAGGAAGTTATCTATTCCTTAAAAGTAAGTATCAATAATTACCAAGGATTGTCCTTGGAGTCATTCAGCTATTTGGATACATGTTAGACAGTGTTCACAGTGGCCATGGTTTCCATTGTCCTGAACAAGTTATTCTAGCCCCAAGCTTGCATACTCACTCAGCAAACAAAAGTCTTGAAATTAACCTCTCTAAACCAAGCCTGGCATGCTCCCTAGCGTGTCCCGCCATCTACCCCCAGTAGCTATGAAAGTATTCCCTGTCACCGCCTCCCTGAGGAAAAAAAGAGTTGTCTTTATCAAGACTATCAGTGCCATGATGGTTGGATGATCTATGACGTTTGAGCAATCTTTATAGAGAAGCTGCCTGAACAACCAACCAGCTGGCATGGCACTCAATCTCATCCCGCTACAGAACCAAATCTGTAACCCAAAAAGTTTCTAATTCCAAGAAACCATACCCAAAATGCAAAGGGAACCCACCATATGGGAGAACATATTTGCCAATGATACATCAGATAAAGAGTTAATTTCCAAAATATATAGAGAACTCATACAACTCAATAAAAGAAAAACAAACAATCCAATTTAAAAATGGGCAAAGGCTTTAAATAGACAATTATCCAAAGAGGATATACAGATGCCCAAGGACATGAAAAAAGTGTTCTAAGTCACTAATCATAAGAGAGAAGCAAATTAAAATGACAGTGAGGTATCACCGCACACCTGCCAGAACGGCTGCCATCAATCAATCAATAAACAACAAGTGCTGGTGAAGGTGTGGAGAAAAGGAAACCCTAGTACACTGCTGGTGGGAATGCAGACTAGTGCAGCCACTATAGAAAACAGTATGGAGTTCCCTCAAAAAATTAAAAATGGAACTGCCATTTGACCCAGTAATCCCACTTCTAGGAATATATCCTAAGAAACCTGAAACACCAATCAGAAAGAATATATGCACCCCTATGTTCATACTATTTACAATAGCTATGATGTGGAAACAGCCCAAGTGCCCATCAGTAGATGAGTGGATAATAAAGTTGTGCTATATTTACACAATGGAATACTATGCAGCTATAAAAAAGAAGGCTCTCTTACCCTTAGAGACAACATAGAGGGACCTGGAGAGTAGTATGCTAAGAAAATAAGCCAGTCAGAGAAAGACAAGTATCATATGATCTCACTTATATATAGATTCTAATGAATAAAATAAACTGATGAACCAAATAGGTCCGGAGACATGGGAGTAGGGAACAGACTAACAAATCTTAGAGGGAAAGGGGATAAGGGGTTGAGAAGAGATAAACCAAAGAACTTATGTGCATATATGCATAATCCATGGACACAGACAATAGTGTGGTGAAGGCCTGGGGTGGGGTGGGAACCAAGTGGAGGAGGGCAATGGGGGGAAAATGGGGGACATCTGAAATACTCTCAATAATAAAGATAAATAAAATTTTTTTAAGTTTCTCATTCCAATTCTGTGAGCCTCACTTTCACAATTTTAAATGATCATAATTCCTCTATATATTTTTATTTTCAAAGTTAAAAGAAAAATGAAATAACTAAGAAAATATTTTAGAAGAGAGATGCCACAGAAATTTAGGATCTATCCTAGCCTTTGCATTTTTATAACTTTTAAAACTTGTCCCTTTGAATAAGTCTGTATGGTTTTCACAGCCTGTAAAATTCTCTAAGGATTATTGGCTAAGGAAAAGATAAGGGTGTACTTAGAGAGCCGAGTCAGCCAGGTCTCTGGGCACACTGACCTTGGGCAACATACTTCACCTTCCTATGTCCTAATTTATACCTATGAACATGCAAAAAGATAATATAAAATTTTATACATATATATATAGTTATCTTTAAACTTTTCATCTGTTGCCCTGGCTGGTGTGGCTCAATTGGTTGAGTATCATCCTGTGCACCCAAGGGTCACTGGTTCGATTTCCGGCTGTGGGTTCCCCAGTCAGGATGTGTGCAGGAGGCAGCTGATCAATGTTTCTCTCACATCGATGTTTCTCTCTCTCTCTCTCCCTCTTCCTCTCTCTCTCTCTCTCTAACGATCAATAAAAACATATTTAAAGTACTTTCATCTATTTATGCATATAAAAATGTGTAAGGTATTATCTATGTGTTGTATAACACTTAACTAATAGTTCACTGAATATTATTTGATAGTGATAATAGATTCCAGAAATTGCTTATTTATCAATGTTCCTTCTTCTCCCAGGTTAATTCTGTCCAAAAGAAGGGAATATGGTTCTGTAAAAAGTAAGTAAATACCTTTGAGTATGTTTCCTGGAAAACTAGGAGTTATGCTTAGCTATCCTGGCAGAAAGCAAAGTCTAGACAAGGAGAACCTTGTACACACAGACACACACACACACACACACACACAGTCAAATCAACAAACTAGTGTCATCAATGACTTTGTTGTTCAAAGGCAATTACTAATCTCAACTTTCCAGTATTAGAAAACAATGGCCTAATAGCCATCAAAAACAAGAATCATATCACCTCAAACAGATGTAGCAAATCTTATACTTACTCCACTTTCACTTTAACAATTTGAATTTGTTTGATGTATCTGGTCCCCTAGCAGCATCAATAGATTAGAAATGGGGAGATCCTTTTGTGGTTCACGAGCATGATGATTGGGCTTTCACACTATTGTGTGTGATGTTCTCCCTCAACCCTTGTTACAATGTCAGTACATTACCCCTCTGACATGAAGAAATAATACTATATAGAAAGGGCGAGAGAACTTCTAAATGCAAGGGTAGCACTGCCTAACCGCAGATAAAGGAGAGAGGAATAACTGTGAAAGGGAGAGCACCTAACACTATCCAGCACATAATAATTGCTCAAAAATACTTGTTGAACTGATAAGAACTCGAGATTCAAACAACTGAGTGGATATTAGTTCTGAGGGATTCACTGATAGCAAAGTAAAACTGGTATTCCCGAAGCCCCTGCATTTACAAGAAAAGGTCAAATTATGTATAATCTGTTTAAGAAGGCATAGAGATACATATATTTAAGCGGTATGAAATAGGATTTAGAAAGAGTTCCATCAAAATGGTTAACATAAAATTATTGGTGCTTAAAGGTCAGTTCCAATTGTCTGGAAATTTTGTTTAAAGGGGATACCCCTTCATACCAGATAAGTGAAGTATTACTTATTTCAATATCTCTAAATATGAAGTTCACAGAACAATTAGCAGAATGTTCCCTAAAACTCCTAGGCTGTCTTCACCTATACGTTAGTACCCGTGCCCAGCACAGAATTGCCCACGTGGGCTCCCAGGATAAGAACTGACTGCCGTACAGAGAGTTTGCACCCTGAAGAGAACCTCGCGACATCCTGCAAGTCTAGCTTATCGCATCAAACTGCAGAGGTCGTTCCTCTTGTCCTGCTCCGACATCCTGCACTGGCATACTGGGCCCTGACTCAAGAGATAAGAGAGCTAGAGTACTCCTAGGGTTTTCCCTGGAAACGTCAGCCCAGAGATGTCGTCTCAAAACCTTCTCGTGAATGTTATATCCAGCTCAGGGAGCGTGGTGGGAAAAGGTTTGTAAAGGGCTCTGATTCCAGTTCTGACCAAGGTGCTGTACTAGGACGGGGCCTGGCTCCTGGCACCAAGATGAACTCCACAGGAAAACTTAGAAAACTGGTGGGGAAGGGGCTGGTTTTGACTGGTGAGTGAAAGCAGGTAGCGAACTTGTCCTGGGGCAGGAGGCAGCCCAGCACAGCTGGGTAAGGGTGATGCAAATAACTAACTAAATATATAAATAAAATGGAGGTTTCCTCCTGCAAATCATATTAAAACCACCAGGGAAAAATAATACATCAGCTAAAGAAGAAGTCAAGACTATCATAGGGAAATTTTATAAAAATATATTAGGAAATATTAAAGGTAGCATAAATGAAAGAAGAGAAATACCCTAGGCATGGATAGGAAGCCTTCACATCATAAATATATCAATTGTCTCCAAATGATTAATCAAGTCAATTCAATTCCAAACTTCCCAAAAGGTTTGTTATGTAATTGAATAAAATGATTCCGAAGTAATACTGTGCATGGAAGAGTAAAGGATTAAACGTAATCTGGGCAATTTTAAAGAACAAGGAGTGGGGTCATGCCTTTCCAGAGACCAGGGCTTACTATGCAGCTACAGGAATTATGATAGTGAGCTACTGTCATAGGAATTAGAAAATTGACCAATGAAATAGGGCAAACAGTTCAGAAACAGTGCACATATGGCACTTCGATGTGTGACAGCAATTGTATGTCAGAGGGGAAAGAAGAATTGTTCAATAAATAAAACGAAGAGAAATGGTTATCCAGATTTAAAAAAATATAAGATTAGGTTATTACTGTACAGTATGTAAAACAGCAAGTCCAGATGTGTTGAGGACTTAAATGCCAAAACAAACAAAAATGGCCATTAGTTATCTACTGCCACATAAAAAATTGACTCCCGAACTTAGTGGCTTCCAACAGCACACATTTGTTATTTCAGTTTCTATGGATCAGGTGTGTGTGAACCACTTAGCTGGATGGTTCTAGCTCAGGGCCTCTTACAAGATTACAGTTAAGATGTTGGCCAAAGTTACAGTCCTTGGAAGGTTGGCTGGGGCTGAGATCTATTTTTAAGGTAGTTATACACACATCCGGCAAGTTTGTTGGTCATTGGCAAGGTCTTGGTTCCTCATGGACTTCTCCACAGGGCTGACTGTATGTCCTGGCCACAGGCCAGCTGGCTTCCTCTGAGAGCGAGGGGGAAGCTGCGCCAACAGTGTCTGGTCTAGGAAGTTGCACACTGCTGCTTCCACAACAGTCTCTTCTTCTGCTTCTTTTTTTTTCTTTCTATTTTATCTTCAGATAGAGTGGGAGAGAGAGAGAGAAAGGGAGAGAGAGAAAAACATCGAAGTGAGAGGGACCCAGAGACTGGCTGCCTCCCACATGACCCCAACCAGGGACAGGGCTGGGGACGAATCACAACCAAGGTACGTGCCCTTGACTGGAATCAAACCGGTGACTCTTTAGTCCACAGGCTGACGCTCTAACCACTGAGCCAAACCGGCCAGGGCAACATTCCCTTCTTTTGAAGCAAGTCATTAAGTCCAGTCCACACTCCAATGGAGGGGCATCTCTTGAAGGGGAAAGTATCAAAGAATGTGTGGACATATTTTTAAACTACCATAAATTCTTAATAACGTATCTTTTAGGCCTTTGGGTAGGGAATGATTTTTTTTTTTTCAACAAGAAACAAAAAGCATTGATTCTAATTAAAGAAAGGGCTGATAAAGTAGGCTTTATGAAAATTAACAACTTTTGTTCTTTGATATTTTAGAGCAAGTGAAAGTTATAAAGTAGAGGGAAGATACTAAAATACACACAATGGAAAAGGATTAATGTCACATATAAAGAATCCTATAATTAATAAGACAGCCCAAACAACCTCATAGGTAAATGGGCAAGAGGAAACACATCAGAGCAATAAACCTACGAACAGATGTTCAGCATCATTGTTCATCAGGAAATGAAAACCAAAACCATAATGAGACATTACATTATACCCACTTGATTGGCCAAACTTTTAAAATTTGATCATATCAAGTATTGAAGAGGACGTGGATTCACAGAAACATAGACTCTGCTGGTGGGGTGTCATTTGGTACCACTACTTTGCAAAACAATTTTCAGAAACAGAAATAACAATTAAAAAAATAAAGGAACAAGATCATTTCAGACAGTGATAAATGCTAGAAGGAAATAACGTGCAGCAATAGGAGAGAGAGTAGCTAGCTGGCAGCCAACACGTGGGAAGGAGCTGCCTTTGCAAAGGATTGTCGGGAATAGAGGCAATGAGTGGAAGACATCTGAATACCAAGAAGGAGCCAGACATGCTTTTACAAATGACTTATTTTGTTCCAGGTTTTCTAACCTCTGGCTAACAGTTTCTTGGCTTTCTCTTTTCAGGATTTTACGATATTTCTTTTTCACCACTCTGTTTTTCATCAGACTGCTGGGCTACTTGTTTTTCCATATAAGTTTTATAAATCCAGATGTCCTTATCAACATACTGCCCAAGATACTGAGCAGGGGCATCTTGTGGAAGCTAAGATGTTTCCTGTTTCCATCTCTCACGCTTGAGACAGAGGAGATGCTACCCCACTGATCCCCAAGAAATATCCTTAAGCAAAAGCAGCAAGCGGTGTCAGTCTAGGAGACAGCAGAGCTTGTGGAGGGAAAACGTTTTCTTCAGTTTGCCCGCTTGACTACCTTTCCTCCCCACGCTGTCTTTCCACGGTTGACCTTGCCCAGTAAAGAGCTCTGTCAATAGATTTCTGTGGCTATATGCATAAGCTAAACAATACTGGATAGTAAATAAATTAGATCATTTTTAGAATAATGTCACAGTTGCTAAGCAAAGTTAGTTTATCAATTCTTCTGGTGAATCTCAACAATCTAAGAAGCTGGGTCCCTGCATTGCAGAAGATTGCTCACTACTTATAACTCCTTGGTTGCAGGTGACCTTAGTTTAAGCTAACTTATAAGTTTATAGCACACACACAAAAGGTATTGCCTCATGGAATTAAAAATATGGGGCTTCAGGCATGGCTGGATCCAGAAGCCTCAAAGCAATGGTACTGGGTTTCATCTCTCGCTTCTCTTTGAATAAGCATTCTACTCTTAGTGGCAAGATGTTGGTGGGAAGGTGGGAAGGAAAGGCAGATATATCACATGCATACATGATGAGTCCTAAAATAGAAAAATTCCCAATGCCTATATCCAATAGTGATATCAGATCCATGCATTATGCTAGTCTGAGAAGGAGAATGACAAGGAAGCACTAAATCATCTGACCATGTCAGCAAAGCCATTCCTTACTGAAAGACTAAAAGCACCTTCTACTCTAGATGAATATTTTAAATAGAAGTAACTAAAGAGAAGTAACCAGATAGAAGTACCAAAAAATTAAGCAACTTTCTGAATCTGTTAAATTTCATGTAATGAGTAAATTCTTAACTCCGGGCTTCAGAGAAAACCGAAGGCTTTTCTCCTGGCAATTATTAGAGTAATGTACAAATACCTGTAGTCTGACAATACAAATAACTGTGAGTTATTTACCCAGCACCATAAATGCAAATACCCTTCACCATGTCAATAAGACCTACATTGCACACACATTTACTCCTGCCATGAACGGCAGTGGAATTCTGGGATCCAGTGGAATCTGGCAGTTTCTTCCACAGGTTGGCCAATGCTGCGTTAAACTGGACTTGATTCTTTACAGAAGGGAAAGATAAGGTGTGACCGGCTTCCCTTTACCCACATCCTACCACATGATAGAGCAAGAAATGCATACCCTCTAAATTCATGAATTTGAAACTGGGAATCGTGAAAGAAAAGGTGCTTTCACACACTTAGTCATTTAAGGAAACTTTTTAAAAACCTTTCATACATATTTCATTATTCATCGCTATATTTTCTCTGCTGTTGCTAAGTGGAATAAAGCTGACAAAACAGCTCAAACACTATTGTAGAGAATGTGAATCCCTAATGCAGGCTTAACATCCTCATAATTCCCTTTTTTGTTGTTTAAAGTAAAGGTAAATGCTGACTGCAGTTTGGGTCATACCCAGAATACAGTAGTTAAGTGAGGATTCAGAGCGCAGGTGTCTGTTCATAAGGCAAGGAGAGCCAGCAATCAAAGAAAA